ATATGGGTCCAATATTGGACCTCCCCCCAAATGAATAACAGAAATGGTATAAAAGGAAAGGAGAGGTGACACTGACGTTGCAGAACAGAGCAAAAGCCAAGCACACTTGAATGGGCTTGTGGTCTGGTTTGGTTTGCTCTCTTGCCATATCCCACTCCTCTGCTAAAGTACACTGCCTTGTCCTGCAAACCTGCTCTCACTGAATTTGTGGGCACCACCGCTACCACAAACCCACCATTTTGGCACGCACAACTGCAAGACTGAAGCTTTGATGTGCATGAATAAATCATCTTATAGCCACAGGAGGCATAAAACTAAAGTAGCTGATAGGATTGTCTTCTCATGGGCTTCTGAGTCAGTCGCTGGCTTCTAATTCAGTTAAAGTGTCAAAGGCTCTGGTGGACCTGACTTCTGTGAGCTGTGAAGCCAGCAGTGACATCAGCAACACCAAACAATGAATTAAGTAGAAGCTGCAGGTGCTGCAAACATCACAGAGGATGGTGCCAAGATCTGCCTGTTAGCACACACTGATTCAGAGGTCAAGATGCTGTGTTACACCGTGACATGCAGGACAATAACATCCTCAGCTTCCACCAGGAACCATCCTGTTAACATACAAATATCTAATGAACGTAACATCTTGACATAAGGCTTAAAAAAAGTTTTACTGACATCGCTCCACACCAGAGAGGCACTTTTGCTGACCCTCTGCAAATAAATCCGTTCTTAATGGATTTAAATGAAGGTGGATTTTCATTGCTCCAGATTCACAGTGCCACCCTATAGCCACGGTTTTGCTTGGCATCTGCTTCCTCTCCTCACACCAGAGAAGCCAGGGATGATTCAGACCTCTGGTAACAGAGGACCATCCAAGAAAAGGTCTTTGCCTAGCACATCCTCCTGGCTCACGGCTGGTCACTGCCAGTAGAAGTTTTAAGGTGGCACCGTGGTGGTCTGCTACATGAGCATCAAGGCTCACTCGTAGGAATGATAAAGAACTGGCTGGTGTGTGAATGTCATTTTTGGGAGGGGCACATGAAGAGGCTGGAAATAGGCACTGGAAATAGGCCTAGAAATAGGCACTCAAGGCAAAACAATGGAATCAAGTAGGTAACAGGTAAACCTTACTATCTGATCTGGTTAGATATACCAAACCAAAAGCAAAGGTCCTGCTTTAAACAAAGGAGCCAGCCTGGTTTTGATCAGTAAGTCATTGCAGACAGTCATTACTGCTATATTGGCCAGATGCTTCAAGCTCCACTGTAAAACCTGTGTGCCTAAAACACAAATATTTGCAGCGCATCTCATGACACAAAAATGCAAATCAAGTTGTCTCCACAAAAGACAACAAGCTTCTGCAAATGTGATCCATAGTCTTAGTCTTTTCCGTGCACCCATTAAGGGCAGTAGAGGAGGTCTTAAGAGGATATATGGAGCTCAGAGCAAGGGGGACCAGACAACATGGGAAAGGGGAGGACAACTGAAAAGACAGAGAAAACCTTAGGACAAAAGTGGGGAGGAGGTAGGAGAAGGAAAACTGAGAAGGGTAAAGGAAAACACAGCACATGAGGGAACGAACTGAGAATGTGGAGAGCTGATAAGCTAAATGGGATAAAAATACTGTTTTGGTAAGTGTAACCTGCCTTTTCCAGATAACCTGGGGCAAAATGCTGGTTTCCCATAGAGCTCATAAAACTGCAATAGGTGGCCCTTTTTGGTTTTGTTTTGTTTGTTTAGTGAAAGCCTGACAACTGTATTAACTTTCTTTTGATCGAAATACGTTTGTGCTAGTCCCTTAACCATTCATATGTGACAGAACAAAGGTGCAGCCTGCACACCTCTTCTTCGGAGTCTTTTATGGAAGCAAGCATGGAGGAAAGTTCATTGCCTTGCAAAGGAATTGGTCTGATCCTAGTTTGCAGTGTGCAAGCTTCAGATCCTCCAATTTTTTTTTTCCTTGCAAATATATCCAGGCCCAAGCATAGCTACTATCAGTAGTGCAGTTGGGGAAAAAAAACCCACAAAGCAGAAAGCATGATTGACAGGTCATTTGTGTTGTCCTACAGGCAGGCCTTGAAACTTGCCAAGTTCGGCAAACCTTTGGATACACATTAATGAAGAAGCTCTGCCAGAGGTCAGAAGGTAATTTGCTTCTTGTGTCAGGTGGGCCTCATGGTATTTTCCTTTCTGTAAAATGAATAAAAGATCTTGTCACAAGCACAAACCTCACTGCTCAGTTCTCAAAGCACAGCTGGGAAGGAAGGAGGCAGAGATCAGCTGGGAAACTTGCACAGATTTCATGGTGCTTGTGTCACACAGAATCGCGGACCAGCTGAGGTTGGAAGGGACCTCTGGAGACCACCGATTTCAACCCCCCTTTCTCAAAGCAGGGTCAACTTGCTCGGGGCTCTGTCTACTTGGGTTTTGAATATCTCCACGGATGGAGGCTCCACAGCCTCCCTGAACACCTCTTCCAGTGTTTGGCTGCCTTCACAATGAAAATTATTTTACGTAAGTTTAAATGGAATTTCCCATATTTCAACTTGTGCTCATTGTCCCTTGTCCAATCACCACTGAGAAGATCCTGTCTCTGTCTTCTTTATTTTTCCCCATCAGATATTTACACACATTGATAAGATGGCCCTGAGCCTCCTCTCCTCCAGGCTAAACAGTCCCAGCTCTCTCAACCACTTCTTGTAGCAAAGATGCTCCAAGTTGTTAATGATCTTCATAGCCCTTTGCTAGACCTGCTTCAGTATGTCCATGTCTGCCTTGCACTGGGGAGCCCAGGCCTGGACCCAGCACTCCAGCTGTGTCTCACCACAGAGCAGAGCTGAAGGTTCACCTCCCTTGACCTTCCTAGGTGCAGCCCAGGGTGCCATCTACCTTCTTTTACTGCAAGGGCATGTTGCTGCCTCATGGGCAACTTCTTGTGACACCCTGGGACCCCCAGGACCTTTCCTGCAAAGCTGCTCTCCAGCCAGTCAGTCCCAGGCACCTCTGCAGACCAGGAGAGCTGCACCCTCCCTTAGGAGCTGGGACTGCATCCAGTGCAGTGCCTGGGAGGCTTCTCCATGTGGTGCCAGGGATTGTGCCCTGTAGCACATCACCACCATCGCTCAGCACGTGCACACTGTTGTCAGCAGAGTTTCCGGGGAATCCAAATGCCTTCTTTTGACATCTGTATCGGGTTTACATGGCAAGGTTGTGGTAGCGGGGGGCTGCAGGGGTGGCTTCTGTGAGAAGACACCGGGAGCTGCCTTCATGTCGGGCAGGGCCAGCTCCAGCCATCTCCAAGACGGACCCACTGCTGGCCAAAGCTGAGCCCATCAGAGACGCTGGTGGTGCCTCTGTGATAACATAGTTAAGAAAGGGTAAAAACACTGCGCAGCAGCAGCTGTGAGAGAGGAGTGAGAACATGTGAGAGAAACAGCCCTGCTGCAGACACCCAGGTCAGAGCAGAAGGAGGGGAGGAGGTGCTCCAGGCACCGGAGCAGAAATTCCCCTGCAGCCCGTGGTGAAGACCGTGGTGAAGACCATGGTGAAGCAGGATGTCCCCCTGCAACCCATGGAGGACCACGGGGGAGCAGATATCCACCCTGCAGCCTGTGGCGGACCACACAGGAGCAG